TTGCTTTCCCTAGGGTGGTAGTATTTAAGTGTGTGGTTTCTCCCAATTCCACAGAATCAGGCTGACTTTCTACATGTGCACATTAGCCAACTGTGAAGACTGGCTCTTACCATTCTTTTTTTTTTTTTTTTTTTAATTTTTTTTTATTTTATTTTATTTTATTTTATTTATTTATTTATACAAGCACTGGGTATAGTCAGAAGCGCGGGTGGGTGAGAGAATTCACCAGAGCCAGAGCAGGGAGCAGAGCAAGCAGAAGGACCGAAGCACACTACTGAGGGGAGCAGCGGGCGGCAGGAGAGGTCTGCGCGCCATGTGGGACCCTCCCTCAGGTGGCCGGGGAGCAGCCGGGGATCAAACCGGCGCTGCAGAGGCTGCAGGCAGCTTCACAGCCCAGCGCTCAACCTCTGCGCCACCAGGGGAGGCCCAGGCTCTTACCATTCTTGCCCTTGTTTGTGCACACAGAGGCAGTCGCAGGGTAGTGCTGTGTTGGTTGAGGTCTGAGGGCCTAGGAGGTGCCCATGGGCAAGCTGAGGGACAGTCTGCACATGAGATGTCCTCAATGGCTTGTAGGATGGCCTCCTGAAGGAGTAGGATTCATGTCCCTTTGATACGTTCCGCTCCAAATCCTGGCTATTGTTCTCCCAGCGTGACTGTCCACCTTTAAGTCCTGCAGTTCACAACTCAGTACCTCTGGATGGGGTGAGAAAGACCTGGGCCTTTGGGGAGCATCCCACACAGTAAGAAAAGCCAAGCACTGAATCACATGCTCTCATTTTCCCCTGTGGGAGAAATCCCAGGTTGAGTACTCACTTGATAGTGAGTTATGCTGCCTTGAGGAAGAAGTGACATAGATAAAGTGAAACTATTCTTATCATCTTCAATGGGTCAAATCTTGGATCTTTTTGCTCCAAAAGTGTGCTGGATCTTCTAGTTGCACTCTCAGACTTCCACAAAGGCACTCTAGTCCATAATCGATTCTAAAGTCATTTTCTTTAGGGACAGGATGCTAGAAAACTGCCATTTCAATAACATCACTGCCCACTAAGTCATTCTTTTGCCAGCTGAAATTCACTGTTGAGCCCTTGGTGAACTTTTCCATTCAATTTTCCACTTTAGAATTTCCATTTGGTTCTTTTTTTTTTTTCTTTTTTGTAATTACGTCTATCTTCTTAATGACAATCTCTATTTAATTTGACACTGTCATTATAATTTCCTTTATTTCTTTAAGCAGGATTTTATTTATTTTTTAAAGATTTATTTATTTATGCATACAAGAGCTGGGGTGCAGGCCAGAGATGCAGGGGGTGAGAGGATTCACCAGAGACAGAGCAGAGTGGGGAGCATAACAAGTAGACTGACCGAAATACACTGCTGAAGGGAGCAGTGGGAGAGACAGTAGAGGTCTGCCTCGCCATGTGGGTTGCCCCCTGGCCAGCCAGGGATTGAACTTGTGGTGCAGAGGCTGCAGATTGCTTCGTAGTACGGTGCTTAACCCTTTGCGCCACCAGGGAGGCCCTAAGCAGAATTTTAAAAAGTTCAATGAACATATATTAATAGTGGCTATTTTGACTAGTTTACTCATTAAATTCAACATGTCACTCTCAGAAGCAATATCTACTGCCTGCCCTTCTTATTTAATTTTTCTAGTGGTAACTAAGTATTTCAGATGATACATTATACCAATTGCTCTCCCCACTCTGGGATTTGTAATTTTTTTATGCTTGCTTGTTCTCTATTGAGTGGTAGTTTATTTCACTAGATTCTCTTCCCTGTTTTCCATAGTGTTAAACCTCTGATATTGTTCCTCTGGGAACTCAGATTTGGATTTGCCAACAGTCATTCTGGGATTAAAGTTTTGGCAGGGCACCCTGTATCTTTCACTCTAACCGCACCTAACTGTTGTACTCTACTTATTATGGTTAATTGCTCTCTAGTTTATTCACAGTGCACTCAGGTCTAATCCTTTCACAGAATAAATCAATCAAATTAAGATTACTTTGAAGGGAATGTTCAGTGTTTGAAATTTGTTCTGATTCCAGGGGCCTCCCCGGTGGCGCAGCGGTTGAGCGCTGGGTTGCGAAACTGCCCGAGGCCTCTGCGGCGCTGGTTTGATCCCCGGCTGCTCCCCGGCCACCGAAGGAGGGTCCCACATGGCGCGCAGACCTCTCTTGCCGCCCGCTGCTCCCCTCAGCAGTGTACTTCGGTCCTTCTGCCTGCTCTGCTCCCCGCTCTGGCTCTGGTGAATTCTCTCACCCTCCCACGCTTCTGACTGTACCCAGTGCATGTATAAACAAAAAAACAAACAAACAAATAAATAAAACATGCCTCTATTAAAAAAAAAAAATTTGTTCTGATTCCAGCAAACCTACAGCATCTTACCAGCAAACTTACCATGAAACCTGTATGTTTGATCCATCTACCAATTTCCTCCCAATTACCTTTCACCATCGCCTCCATTATTTTAGAGAGTCACCTTAGGTTTAAACTTTTCAGTGTTGTTGTAAATAAGGTTAGTTCTTTTGAGAAGAGATCAGATATTTATAGCCTACCTCTCATTAGAGGTAGAATCTCTGAGTCATCACTATGAGGTTAGAATGCCTGTGTCTGAATGGCACCCCATCTTGAAAAGCTTAGCACTTCATAGGTATGGGAGGTGGTACCATACACTCAGGATTTCTTGGCTTGCCTCTACTGATGTGAAACCACTACCTCAAGTGCCAGAGTTAGAGCAAGGACAATCAGGCTCTTGATATTTTCAAGAGCACTGTATTCAAAGTAGAATCTCCATGCTAAAAGTAAAGTGTGGGCAGGAAAAAGAAAGCCTCCACCACTCAGTCACACTTGGTCAGCAGAAGGTAGGTAGAGGCAGGATCAAACCTGCCATCCAGCTCTTTCCTGGAAGACACCCTCTAAATGGGAATGAGGGCTAGGGGTGGGAGTAAGGGAGCACTGTCTTTTTGACTGTACCAATCTGGAATAGAGTGACCATCTTGCTCAGCTGGCAGAGAAGAGGGAGGAAATGAGTCTTCATTTAAATATCTAAATTACTAAATATAGGGCCTCCCCGGTGGCACAGCGGTTGAGCGCTGGGTTGCGAAGCTGCCCGCAGCCTCTGCAGTGCTAGTTTGATCCCTGGCTTCTCCCCGGTCACCGGAGGAGGGTCCACATGGCGCGGAGACCTCCCCTGCCGCCCGCTGCTCCCCTCAGCAGTGTACTTCGGTCCTTCTGCCTGCTCTGCTCCCCGCTCTGGCTCTGGTGAATTCTCTCACCCTCCCATGCTTCTGACTGTACCCACTGCTTGTATAAATAAATAAATCTTAAAAAAAAAAAAATAAATAAAAATAAATAAATTACTAAATATAAATCACTAAATTTAAATTACTAAAATTCACTTCCAAAATAATTATCTATTTCTATATGTCCTTTAAAACATTTCCAGAGACCTAAAATGCTTGATTTTTTGGTAATTGTGCCCAGTTTTGCTGTCATGATGGAAAGTCTTATCAGCAATTTTTAAAATGCAAATTAGATCATATCTCCATTGAAAATTCTCTAAAAAGTACCTTCACATTGGGCCCCCCCGGGTGGCGCAAGGGGTTAAGCACCGCACTATGAAGCAATCCGCAGCCTCTGCAGCACGAGCTCTGCAGCACGAGTTCGATCCCCGGCCGGCCAGGGAGCAACCCACATGGCACAGCAGACCTCTCCTGACTCACCCGCTGCTCTCCTCAGCAGCATATTTCAGTCAGTCTGCCTGTTCTGTTCCCCACTCTGTCTCTGGTGAATTCTCTCACCCCCCACACCTCTGGCCTGTACACCAGCTCTTGTATGCATAAATAAATAAATCTTTAAAAAAAAAAAGTACCTTCACATTTATAACAAAGTCCAAATTTCTACCAAGCCATCAAAATTGCACGTGGATTAGCCCTTACCCACCATTGGTTAAGCCCTTACCCATCATACTTGATACATGTATTCTGCTTTGTTTTTTTTTTCCACAACACCTAACTTTATGTAACATATTTACTTCATTTGCTTAAAGTCTGTATCCCATTAGAATAAAAGCTCTAGGAGGGTAGGGAGTTTTACCTGTCTTATTCACCACTGGATTCTTAATCTTTCAACAGTACTTGGCATACAGTCAATACTCAATAAAGAATTGGAGTCTCCCTGGTGGCGCAAGGGGTTAAAGCACTGCACTATGAAGCAATCCGCAGCCTCTACAGCACGAGTTTGATCGCCGGCTAGCCAGAAAGAAACCCACATAGTGAAGCAGACCTCCTGTCTCGCCCGCTGCTCCCCTCAGCAATGTATTCCGTCAGTCTGCCTATTCTGTTCCCCACTCCATCTCTGGTGAATCCTCTCACCCCCTGCATCTCTGGCCTGTACCCCAGCTCTTGTATGCATAAATAAATAAATCTTTAAAAAGAAAAAAAGAATTGATATTTATAAACAAGAATTGAAACAGTTAAAAATCTACTTATATTTTTAAAAATATTAGCAGGTAATTTATTTTTCTTTATATCCACAAAGAACAAAACAATAACAGAAAATGGGAAAAGTATCTATCTATTTGAATGAGAAATTATAAACGAGAAGTAGTTAAAAGCTAGGTACTCAAAAAGTTCTGTCTCAAGAATCCTAAAACTCACTTTTAGAAAACCTACTTTTATTATACTACGTACACCAGACCCAAAAGAAATGATCGCCTCTAACTCAATGGGAAAGAGAAAACAATAGTAACATGACAAATGTTTAGATATGACCACTACTACTTCGACAAGCAATAAGATTTAGAGACTAATAAAACTGAAAATTCCTTAATCGAATATAGATGTCACTATTATTTAGTGTAAATAAAAATCTTCAACACTGAAAAAGGAAGGATACTATTTCCATGTCCTCTTTCTCACTCCATGTACCTTCCTGTTAAGGCCAAGTTATAGAATGCGCTTAGCAAGGCTAAGCAAAAGAACTTAGTTGATGATGGAGTTTACCTTGAGTCCTGTTTTCTCGTCGTCACTTCCATTATTTGTAGATGGTGTCTCATCTCCTTGCCTGGAAACCAAGACAAAATCTTCACTATTAAGAGTAGACACTGAGTCTGAGGAGACACTGATTTTTCCAACAGAAGCCTTGTCATCCATGACTCAAGAATGAAGCTCAACTCATGAATGATTAAATATTTTAAAAATGCCTGAAAAACAAAAACCATAAAGATACTCATATAGAATGTCTGCCAGGTATTCAATTATGTTCTTAATTCTTACAAAACACATTTGGAAAAACAAAAAAATTCCTTCCAACTATATTCCTAAGACTATCACCACTTACATTTTAGGCATATTCTATGTAATAAGGGAATCTGATGTTATTTGGGGCGAAAATATTTCAGATTCAAAAAATTAAACAAAACATATTTCCTTAAGAATAACTGAGCCTACCTAAGTGATTTCTTTGGCATATGTTGTGACTATTCTTGGCCTCTAAAAATAATTAAGTACTCAACCTTTGTTTGCAATCTTTTAATTTGTAAAGCTGTACACATAAATGAAATTGAAAGCCTTAGGATATTAACTAAGGTTTAACTAAAATTATCGATACTTAAACTGAAAATACTAACAGCATGTTTTTTACAAAAGAAAATTTCACAGTAACTCCAAAAAGAAGTTCAAAGGAGGGCAGCATAAATCCTAAAGCTGGAAAGTCCCTTAAAAACTCAATCTTCCCATCCCATAGCTTCTTAGAGCTCAACTGCAACATTACCAATAAGAGTTTTGTGCCAAAAATTCCCGGCAAGAAGTATAAAAATGTGTCACTTATAAAAAGCCATTCAATTATTTATTGACTGCTGGAATCAAACTCCAACTTATCTTACCATTTAAAAAACTGGTTCTGTATACTTTGTGGCAATGTTCCCAATTGGTTGCCACAACAGCAACAGAACAAACAATACATTATACTGGGAGAGCTTTAACTAATTAACAAAAGTAGCTCTAGCTCTGTGCTCATTTTGTACCTCAAAGGGGTAAAGCTCTCAGTTTAATCTCTCCAATTAAGCAGCCTTGATCTATGCTTTGGGGTTTTAATTGAATATATATTTATTGAGCATACACTCAATAGTGCCAAGCACTATTTTCTCCTCAAAAGTTCTCATCTGAAGACCTGGCAGCAGGATTTACACAATACCTGAACATTATAGTTGAAAGAAACTTAAAGGCATCATTACTGATAATCACATAAGGAAATGGCAACCCCAGAGAAGTAAGGTCACTTAACTAGGCCTACTTATGGCACAAACCCTGAACTGCTTTCTAATTTCCATGCTGAAAAGCTATCACAGCGCTACAATTCACAGGACTAAATCTAAATGCATCGTATAGCAAATGCACACAAATGTACTTTAAAAAACTTAAAAAATGGAATCACTTTTTATTGAGGCAAGAGTTTACAACACTGTATATGATTTAAGGGTACAGGTTCACACCTCTTCAGATATATGTTACCACATCCACCATCAAAGCACCAACTGTCCTCTACCATACGGCCCCCTCCCGCTTTGGTAGCCTCAATTCTGCAATCAGATGTCTGGGCTTGTTTCTGTAAATTTTTTTGGAAGTTTTGCTTCATCTATTCCATGAATGCTGTCTATAGTACAAAGAACAGAATATGGCCAGCAACAGAAATCAGATTCTTGCCCTAACGGAGCTTACAGTTTAGTAGAGAACAGAGGCAAATGAAACAAGTTGATAAAAATAGGTTGATTTAGGATAAAGAAAAGTAAGGAGAGGGGCAATCTTCAACATGGAGAGTTAAGAAAAATATCAGAGGAGGGCCTCCCCGGTGGCGCAGTGGTTGAGCGCTGGGTTGCGGGGCTGCCCGCGGCCTCTGCGGCGCCAGTTCGATCCCCGCGGCCTCTGCAGTGCCGGTTCGATCCCCGGCTGCTCCCCGGCCACCGGAGGAGGGTCCCACATGGCGCGCAGACCTCTCCTGCCGCCCGCTGCTCCCCTCAGCAGTGTACTTCGGTCCTTCTGCCTGCTCTGCTCCCCGCTCTGGCTCTGGTGAATTCTCTCGCCCTCCCGCGCTTCTGACTGTACCCAGTGCATGTATAAACAAAACAAACAAACAAACAAATAAATAAAAACATGCCTCTATTAAAAAAAAAAAGAAAAATATCAGAGGAGGTAATGTCTTTGTTGAGAATGTACACCTAAGTAGTTCCAGGTTGATACCTCCTAAGACCCTCTTTCTAAGCGATTTACTGGCTTCTGTTCCCCATCAACTCCAACTCACCACTCATGGTCTACCCTCCATTTCCTTGTAGGCTTCTGTCTACCTGCCTGGTGTCACCCCAGAGTCAAATGAATAGACTGACTTATTTTTATTTCCATAGCATTTTACATTTTTTATAGTATCTATGGTTGTATTACACGTTGATGGTGAGAACTTCCTAATTTAATCCACACTGATCTATTTCATAGATGAGGAAACTGTGGTTTAGAGAAATGTTATAATTTATTAATGATACTGATTTTAACTGGGTAGAGGCAAAGCTAGAAACTGAACCCAGTTATCTGTGATTCCAGAGGCCATGCTCCTTCCATTAGATTATAAAGTCTTTCCAATGCCACTATTTGGGGTCTTGTCCCCCAAACACTCAACATTGGTTGGGCAAAGGAGTATTCATATTTAAGAATCTGTACTTTCAGAGCTTATTCCTTTTCTCCACCTTCTATAAAGTGATGAAAAGAACAGTGGCAGGCCTGGGAAAGCCCTCTAGAGTTATGATGTAGTCACTGACAGCTTCCTATAATCCTCTGGACTCAGGAAGAATATACGCTGGTATCTACACTATGAAACTGGGGAGATTTGGCAGGCTCAAAGTTCAATTTAATTTCTTTGAGGGGGCGATAAGAAAATGCACTTTATAAGATAGTGCAGTTTGTTTTGGCACCTGAAAGCAACTGATTCACTCAGTGGGTATGAGGTTTACCAAAACACTAAGCAGTACAGGGAAAGTTATATAAGACGACTCCCCTTCGCTGTCCTACATGGGCAGATGGGAAGGGGGGAGTCCATGAGCAACATGGGCTCTGGATAAGACTAACCCTTCTCTGGCCTTCACATTAAAAGGAAATGTCTAGGTAGTGTATTAGCAAAATCCTGTCATATTCACAATCTCTGAGGTTTCATTTTAATTCCATCAGTTACACAAGAAGCCCCGATTCTAACTCTTTATCTGTCAGACTGTAATTCTAATTCTCATACAGTACAAACTTCTGCCCCCCAAATCCCTCTTTCTGCCTTTCTCCATACCAACTATCACCATTAGACACACTTTACATTTTAATCCTTTAAGCATCATATTAGCTAGAACCTAAGCACCCCAAGGGCAGAGACTTTTTTTGCCTGTTTTATTAAATTTATGCTGAATCACTTTACCTGGAAGAATGTCTGCTACATAGTAGGTGCTCAAATATTTGCGAAATAAATGAGACAAGTGAAAATGGAAATGAACACGAGCCACCCAATGAATAGGTAAATCCATATGGACTGACAAGTCATATCTGTGATGTGACTCAATTAGAAGTTGGGAAAAGCCCAAATTAGAACACTGGTTCTGCTTCTTATTAGTGTGAGTTTGGTCGCTTTGAGCCTCAGTTTCAGTAAGTGAAATGGTATATTATTTACCTCCTAGAGCTACTACAAAAATTACTAAGAGGATAAATAACACATGGAAAACTCAGCAGTTAACAATGCACATAGATGCTGTAAATTCACAGTAGTTAGTTTTTCAAAATCTTTCAATTTTAAAAGAATTAACAAATATCAACTGATGTAGATAATAAAATTTAGGAAATGCAGTATTAGGGCAAAATACATAGCTTTCCTAATTCCACATTTTAATTTGCTTATATCTACATAAATGCAAAGGAATACTTGGAATAAAAAAATGATTACCTTTTTATAATAAAGTCTTATATAGTAATGTATCTATAGCATACGTTATTTAACTCATTTTATCATCCTAACAGTTCTATATAGTAAAGGATTTTCACTGCATTTTAAGTAACACATATATGAACTCCCTGGCATCTGGGAGGCATTAAGAGTTTGTCCCCTTTTATGCAAGTGACAAGCTGAGACCCTTATAACATGTTCAGTTATGAACAGAGCCAGATTGATGAGTTTAAGTTCCTTCTGTACAATCCCTTTAATAAGTCACTTTACCTTTTTTTTTTTTTAATATTTGTTTATCTTTGCATACAAGAACTGGGGTATAGGCCAGAGGTGGGGGCAGGGGGGTTTGAGAGGATTCACCAGAGACAGAGTAGGGAGCTGAACAGGCAGATCTACTGAAATACACTGTTAAGGGGATCAGCAGGAGTGACAGGAGTGGTCTGCTGCTCCATATGTGGGTCAGCTCCCTGGCCAGAGATCACACTCAGACCACAGGTGGTAGTGTGATAGTCCTGAGACTTAACCTGTAGGCCATCAGTTAGGCCCTAATAAATCACTTTAAATGATCAAGTATGGTAATTATGTACCTCTACATTGTACCCAAAGTTAGATCATGATATGTATTTTTTCATGTTGTATTTTTTATTGCACCTATTCTTTCGTTACTTTTACCCTTAATAAGACAAAAAATCAGTAGAGTATTATTGAAAAATGGTTTCATATCGAAACTGTTAACTGTTCATTTTTGCCCCCAAGTCACTCCTCTGAGCCATAAGTGACAATTTTATGCACCATGAACTTCTGCAAAGACCACAGGAAATAATGCACCTCAGTCTTGCTGAATGAAGATTCCTTTTTTCATTTTTAACCTACTGTTAAACACTCTAGACCCAGCTAATGGAGAGTGAAATAGAGGACTGCTGATCATAAAGGCTCTTTTGATGGTTATTTCAAAAGCAGTCATTTCTGGATGATCCATGTTTACACTTTAAAAACTTTTATTTTAGGGGCCTCCCTCCCTGGTGACTCAAGGGATTAAGTCACAGCACTACTAAGCTATCCTCAGCCACTGCAGCACAAGTTCCATCCCGTGCCAGGGAGATAACAAACATGGCGCAGCAGACCTCTCCCGTCTTACCCGCTGCTGTGTATTTCAAGTCATTCTGCCTGTTCTGTTCCCCACTCTGTCTTTTTTTTAAATTTATTTATACAAGAACCGGGGTACAGGCCAGATGC